AGGTTGGCAGAGAACTGCTCAATAAATTGTTACCTTTATTAAGCATCTCGTTAAGATGGGCCAAAACTCGTCAGTACTGAGTTACAGAGTCGTCCAAATAGTTTCAAAAGTTTCCGGATGCGAACCAGTTGTTTTCTCTGGAGGCTGCAGAAGTCGTCCGATGCAGGGTAGAGGAAGGGCGGTAGTATATAAGATTTGATGACGACTTTCCGTAATTCTGAACCTGCACAATACCCCCTCAATCTGCAAATACTGAATCGGTTTTTTTATTTTGCCAGTTACTGAATTAATCTGTTTTCGTCCACGGCTTTCATCCACAATCAACCAAAGGAATTTTACAGCGGAGTATTTTTTTTTCAAAAAAAGTTGTTGAGGAACTGTACGGTTATGCTTTTAGGTGCAAGATGTAAACTGCAGTTCATGGATTTATTTCGATTGTGACCTCTTGAATGGAGACGAAGAAACGCAATAATTCACACCTGGACTGTTATACTCAAATCTGTAGCTAGCGAAACAGTAGCCTCGGCGTTTTTTTTGCATTTTTTGGTAGGATGGGATGGGCGACTTCGCGAGACCTATAGGACGAATAGTGTCGACGATAAACGGGATTCTTTTATGATCCCTTTCTTCTTCCGGCGAACCATTGCTGTTTTTTCCGGCTTTAACTAACTGTCAGAGTCTAGAGTAAGACATTATTATAACCACGTTATTCCCGAATGTAATCGATTAGCTCCAATTGATTGTCTCGGAAATATATCACAGACAAATAGCAAGGTTTTATGCTGCAATCCATTTGTTCCGATGTATTCACAGGCATGATATTTATATGGCTTTTAAAAGATCTCCCAACGCCTTTGTTCAAATGGGTTAACATATTTTTTTATCGATTTATTTTATCAAATCCACCGCCGATGACATTTGAGTATATCACAGCCTACTCATAAAAAGTCGAATATTTTGTGATTACCTTTAAGAGTTACAATTTTATTTTCCAAAGGAAGGAAGATTCTTAGGACATCAAGTAACTAGTCATAAACATTCGTAAGATCTGTCTTTTAAATAATAAAGTCTGACTTGTCCAACCATGCATTCATACTCCCAGTGAGTTCAGAGAGAAAGTAAATGTTCTCACTGTCAGTCTTACTCCAACGATACGATTTGGATGAGTTAAAAACTATTCGGTTCGCGAGGAGGGAGCCATGGAAACCATGTTAGTTCTTGTAGTTCATGTAAATATAAATCGAATTACAACTAAAATACATCCGTTCGATTAAATCGCGACATTATTAAAATTTCGTAAAAAATATTAAAATTTTCTTGTAGGGGTTCCTCTTCTGCGATCATGTTCCTGTTTGATAAGTTATTTTGGTGAATGGTACAAGTCTTTATATTTGGAAATTATATTATAGTCTTACAATATTCGGTCAGCAGTGTACACTGCGTTGACTTAGATCGCAAATTGTTAAATGAAAGTATGTATTAAGTTCATCTGTATTGTTGTATCCACAACTATGATCGCTTTACGCGAAATTTTAACATACTTGATCAATTGTTTTTCTGATGGAACAAAGTTGTGTTAGTTAGTTTAATTGTTTGATAAACAACTAATGGTTGAACTTTTGTTAAATAGTTTTAACGGTTTACAGAAGCGATGTCTAGCGGAGAAGAAGAAATCGATGGAAAACCGATAGGAGAGCTGCGAGTGATCGACCTCAAGGAACTTCTGGACAAAAGAGGCTTATCGAAGACCGGCAGTAAGACCGCTCTCGTAAAGCGTCTTCGAGAGGTATTTTTTGTGATGGCTTTATTGCTACCCTCAAATGAAATGCAGTTAGCATTACGGTTTGTATGTGTGAGAGGGGGAGCTAAACGTTTGGTATTTGGAAACTAGAAGTGATGAATATGAGGGCATCACGGCTTAGTTCCATTAGGTCCTTGCTCCACAGGGGACGGTAGCGAGCGAAATTCGACCAGACCTGCACTCTTAGCATCTTCAATCCTATAACGCTTTATAAACCGTTCGGTTGACTCACTGTTTTGCAGTGACTGTAAACATGTAAGCTCCACGTAGCTAGAAGAAACAACCATTGGGGAAGATAGAATTTTATGTATTTTCGTTAGAGATATGCCCTTGTTTCCTGATGTCACTGAAAATGAGAGATCAGTACCTAATTTATAAAATGGAGGAACGAACCTTATCCTTCAGGAAGGCCAAGAAAGCCAGCATTCCATTGCCTGCGATGTATATTTGTTCGTTTTGTTTGTATCGCCGTTGCTACTGAGTACCTTTTTTATGAATATTTTCTTTCCTATTTTTGGACTGCGCATCATGTTCTCATTGTGAAACTGTACGGGATATAATCTTTACGCTGAGGTTGAGGTCCTTCACTTTGCTAGCACCACACATTCAGCTAATCAGTAGCATTTCTACAAAGTTCACATGTTGCTCCTCGTTCTTTCTAATCGTCAAACATTGCCTTCCCCGTATGGAGATATCTGACTACGCTGCTCTAGGCTGTTTTGTGATAGGCATCTTCTCATTATATGGTTTCCTTCTGACTTCTCTCCAGAGGTTTTACGTGCCTACTTTCACTGATTTGAAAATTTTCTGTTATTGGATTATACTTGAATACTGAAGTTTCAACTTGTCACCCTTGCCGGTTCGTTGACCATGTTGTTTCTTCCTTATGAATAGCTTGCCATATGGAGGCGTTCTCCATCTTATTGTTATTAATCTGAAGCCGTTTTTTGAAGTGCCTGATGATAGAACTTTGACGGAAACACGAAACAGTTCTGTTAATTGGCCTCGACTAATGAGAGGCGTGGAGTTTAACAGAAGGTAAGGTCTCTTCTGTCGTGCTTTGTGGAATGCTGGTCTTTGAAGTCTCCCGACGTCTAAATTTCACTTCGATCACATTTCTCGCTCATCTAGTGTAGTAACTGAAGATATAATAAAATCAGGTATCGTTGATGTTGTTTTCTTGGTCAAGGCGTGCCTTAATTTTTGAATTTATGCTGTAAAATGTTCTCCTAAACAATGTCGTCTCTCTTGGCATGTCCATAAGCCGTATGAAGTGCGCCACTTCATTAAGTAGTCTAGACCAAAGAACGGCAAGGTGAAAAAGAAGATAACGCAAATAGGATGTTATTTACTTCATATCGTTGTTATTGGATTGAGGACTCTGATCAAGTGAATGAGCAGTTCAAAGAAAGTCTGCTTTGCTTTGAGAATCTTGCTCCATCTGGATCTCCCTTTACCATTCTACGTACTGATGCTTCAACCTACAGTGCTATTTCCCGAATAATGCGTTTAATGCAGCACATTTTTATTATTCATATTAGGCGTTCACGCAGTATTTCGCATGGTGCCTTGTTAC